TGTGAATGTAGTACTTCCACAGCTGTAACGAGCTGTTGAAAAATTCGTTTTGCTCGAGTTTCTGATAATCGCTGACCCGGAGCTCGTCGTAGTATCTCGCACAAACTGGTCCCTTTTAAGAGCTCAGTGACGACGTGTATTCGTGTTGGAGATTCGAAGACTTCCACAAACCGCATGATGTTCGGATGCGCACGCAACCGCGACAGTATTCTTACCTCCTGTCGGACACGACGCCACTCAAATGCATCTCCGCCAAAGCCTCCATTAACCTGATCATCCACTGGTAAGCACGACCTCGCACCATGCAAACGACTGTAACTTTTAATTGCTACGGGAGTGCCACTGAGTCGATGAGTAGCGGAACGTACACGACCAAACGTGCCACGACCAATCTCATTTCCCACGGAATACCAGCAGGTTAAATCATCCAGTTGGTTCACAGTATCGTCCAGGGTCCGTATCAAATCAAATTTGTCTGCAGTATCTACAGTTTGACGCATCTTGTCAATAAAAGTTTGTACAGCCTGCTCTGCTAGCTTTAGTTGTGTGGTTGACAGAGTTGATAGTCGAGATGGCAGTTGAGTCAATGCATCGCTATTATTGTGCTGTTCAACCCGGTCGTAGACACTTTGAAGCTGATCCTCTGTTGTGATTTTTTTCACAGAGCGTTGTCTTGCCAATATACCGGAGTATCCAGAGTTCCCTCGCGCATCTTGTAAAGCACAGTCCAGACGATTGACCCGCCGAGTTCTAGTTTTTAGCGGTCCATCCGCAGTGGCTTCTCTAATGCATCTCACAGGCCTCCGAGTAGTTAGTCGCCGTGGTGTTGCCACTTTGTCCGTGAGGTCTAGCATGAGTCTGTCGCTGGGCTTATGAGTATTTCGGGATACTTTGCACAATGTGAAACCATTAATCGACGTACTCAAGAAACGGGTTTCTAAACCCAATACTCCTCAACGGCATTGCTCTAGTAACTTTGGGGTAAATCGCTTACCGGTTCATTTCACGACAACGTTCCTCTCAGTACGATGGATAGCCAGTTGTCACCAACAAGAGCTGGTGCTGCGGTCACTCAGGCTTTGGGAGAGATCGGACTCCCGCCCACAAGAAAACCTCCAGCCTCCTCTCTATTGACAACAAGACGGACACCTCCACAAGCGTTGACCACTACACAAAGGACACCATTTACTCCTTATGGTCGACCGTGGAAACCTATGTTCGGGAACCAGCTACAGCATGTCAAGAACGAGAATCAGCGGGCCGTGGAGAAGCAGATCGATACGAGTGCAACTCAGTCACACACCGCTATTGCTATCCACGAAGAAGCAACGATTTACGACCCGGACAAAGATGATAGGCGCTCTACTAGGGGACTATTTCGTCTTCGCACAAATCAAGTTATCCAAAAACAATTAAACCAACTTGAGCAGAGCCGTCAGCGTCAACACAAAGAAGAAGGCGATGCACAGACCGTTGATGAACCCGATGAGCTACCGGGGATCGATCCGGTGAGTATTCCTGCTAGCAGCGAGGCGAATATACCAGAAGTGAAGGCGACAAACGTGGCCCAACAACCACCACCACCGACTGAACCCCCGGCTGTGCCACTGCTTCGCCGGAAGATAGCACGCCATCGGCATCAGCCGCAATCTCCACCTTTACATCAGCGCAACACGACTGGTATAGCTGCAATTTTAACTCCACCTAAGCAACCTCAAACGCTATTTTTTCAGACTGATGAAGAAGATCACGTTGAGAACTGTTCTGTTGCCGATCCTTCCGTCGTCTCCCCCACATTTGGCACCGACCCAGAGACTGACAAGACTACCGAAGAAAACCCCGTTGAAAACCGCAGTTCTCCAACTCGCAATGCCCCTAATTACGAGTTCGATCGAAGATCCAGTGACGAACAAAATGGAGATGATGATAGTTTCAGAGACGCGGGGGTTCCTGAGCG